AAGGCTCATACGGCGTTTTTCCTTTATAACATGGCAGTGTCAAGCTCCGGAGCTCCGGAATTTGATAGACTTTTCTGACTGTGTCCGCGATAACTCAGCAAATATGGGTGCTCTGAGAGGAAGTATGTCGCTTATACATTTTTATCATGACTTTGACTTTCAGTTGTCCCTGTTTTTTTCTGATTTTTACACATATAGTAAAACCACGGTTATCCGGGTTAAACGGGGCCGGTCGCGGTGCGCGAGCCGGATAAGTGAGAACAACGGGTAACGCGAGGCCCGAAAAAATACAATATGACGGATGGTGCCATTGCGGAGGTGGATTTTAGACATTCTTGACATTTCAAAGGGACTTTTGTGCGATTTTACTTCTAAAAGGTTAACTCAGTTTGACAAATCTCTAATTTTTTTTTTAATTTTTTTTTAAATTGTAAATTAACAATAACTGAACAAATTTACATACACATTTCTAGACTGCTTTAGTCTTCACAAATTTGCTTCTAACATAAAATAATCAAATAAAGCATGGTTCCCCTAAGATTTTAAGATGCTGAAGATTTTACTTATTTTTCTAGCTTTAAATCGCTATTGTGAAGGGTAATTAAACGTTTTACTTTACTAGTCATCGAGGAAATTTTTGAAGAACAAATCTCTCATCTGCGATAGACCCTTTTGATTGCAATGTAATTTTAACCGTTTGAAAATTTCAACTAAAAATATTCATTATTTCTATGAAAAATGAATAATTCAAAAGAGGAAATGTGTCATCATTTGAATATCCATTCGACGTTTTTCCTTAAAACGACCGCGCCGAGAAAACACGCCGTATGAACATTCGAGAGTTGCCAAATTTCCTCCAATAAAAGGTTTATTTTTGATGAGAGTTATGAATATTTCCTCTTGAAACTTTCAGATGAGACAGTATAAGTTACGATGAAAATCCTCCGAGAAATTGAACGTCAAATATTTACAAGTTTTCCTGAAAATTCGTATTTGGTCAAAAGATATTTGGCAACTGCAGAAAGTTCGCGCGGCGTTTCTCCTCAGCACGGTAGAACACAGCACTGCCGTGCTAAGGAAGAACGCCGTATGAAGACTCAAGAGTCGCCAAATTTCCTTCGACAAAATGTTTATTTTTGCGGAACGTTATGATCATTTTTCCATGAAATTTTCAGGCGCTTCATGTGAAATTGCGAGCAAAATCATCTGAATAATTGGAAGAAAAATATTCATAAAAGTATCAGGAAATTTGTGTTTTATCAGAGGAACACTGGAAAAAAACACATTGGATCTAGAGTCCAGACTCTTGAAAACATTGACAAGAAAAAATACTCTTGATTCGATCAGATTTTTGCTTGAATCAAAACGAAATCCGCTTAAATTTAGAGACTTGGTTCTTGATTTAAGCTAGATTCTGATTGAATCAAGAGTACTTTTTCTTGTCGATGTTTTTAAGAGTCTGGACTCTCGATCCAATATGTTCTTTCCAGCGAAATTTGGCAACGCCTGAGGGTTCATAAGGCGTTTCTCCTTAGCACGGCAGAACACAGCAGCGAGCGACTACAATGCTTTAATTTAGTAACAACTCGTCTACAAATTCTTAACAACCACGATTCATTTTTTCGCCACTGGGTTAGCTGTAAATTAACCCGTAATAACTTTCCACCCCCACCCCTATCCCCGAACCGCACCCTTGTTTACATCGTTAATTGGTTTCCCTCGACGAGTCCACGTTGCGACGCGCGGCTCATGAATTTCCAAAGGCCCGCGATGAGCCGACAACAACTATTTTTAATTCATTAACAGACATTGTTTCAGGGGCAGAACGACGGAGGCCGGGTGTCTGAGGCGGGGGACGTGATGAATATTCATGTCCCACCCCCGATGAGGGGGTTGGGATTAGTCGAGCGGGAAAAATCATCCGCAAGGAAGGGAAGATGTCCGGTCCGACGACTACAAGCGAAAATGAAAAGGGACAATCCTGAACGGGATGGGAAGAAGGCGGTTTCGTACACTGAAAAAAAATATCGGTGTATTTACTAAGAAAAGAGTAAAATTACCAAGAATTCAGGGTTCTATTTGATCCCAGTTTTTTCTTGGTAAAATTACCATTTATGGAATTGGTAATTTTACGGAGAAATCTCAGTAAAATTATTAAAGACACCTAACACGCTGTAGTTGTGCTCCTAATAAAATTAAAAAAAAAAAAAAAAAAAAAAAAAAAAAATCTGCCGTGATGAGGGAAAACGCCGATGAGCATTCGAGCTTTGCCAAATTTCATGAGCCAATCAAAAGTTTATTACTATGCAGAGTTTTGAATATTTTCTCTGGAAATTTTCAGAAAATTTACATCACATTGTGAAAGTCTCTGAAAAATTGGCGGAAAAATATTTATAGATTTTCTTGTTAATTTGTGTGTTATCCAAGGAAATTTGGCAACGTCTAAAGGATCATACGACGTTCTGCCTAAGCACGGCACTATTCTTGGTCGGCCTTCTTTAGGAAGCCCCCTTATTGTTTACATTGTGATTAAGGGAGGTTTAAGGAGGCCCTCGAAGTAGCATCATAAAAGGGACAATTTTGGCAAACCTAAAAAAAAAAATTGGCAGTAAAATTGGTCGTATCTCTGCCAAATGGAACTATGTGTAATAAGACGTGAGCCCTGAGACTCATGAGAAAACATGCTTAACAGGGCTCACGTCACAATGCACGTAGATCCGTTTGGCAGAAATACGTCCATTTCAGAAGTATAACTCTGAAAACAAAAACACCGAGCCTTACCACTATGAATGCGTGAGTTTAGTTCAGGCGCTGTGATGCGACTATTCAGCCGTCACTGTATGCTTGCAGTATCGTTTTGAATTGAAGGCGTTTTAAACGTGCGCTGCAATACGGTGAACACAAAAACGCCAGAGTGTTGTAATAAGTTCAATAAGTTGAACGATACTCATTAATTTGCCGTATAGAAGTGAATGTTTACTGCAGTGGCGAGGCGTGAATGATCAATTTCCCCATTTGAAGCGATATTAAAGAATCGATTATTAAGGTGATTGTTGCGAATATTCCGTTCGTCGATCCTTTTTTATACGTTTAAATGACAATGAATCGATATATGAAAAGCACGCCATGCCACTGCAGTAAATATTCACTTCTGTGCGGCAAATTAATGAATACTGTTGAATTTATTGAACTTATTACAACTTTCTGGCGTTTTTGTGTTCGCCGCATTGCAGCGCGTGTTTAAAACGCCTTCAATTCGAAACGATACCGCAAGCATACAGTTACGGCTGAATAGTCGCATCACAGCGCCTGGACTAAACTCACTGTACGTAACTGCAGGGTGGTGATTTTTGAAGGTGAATTCCAGATTCTTTTGATACCTCTAAAAACCGTGCCGGACACCGATGTGATGAAAAAAGTGATATTTCGGCCGAAACTTTTTAATTTAAGACTGAAGAGTAATCGCTTGTTCAGTCGTATTTTTAAAGTCTATTTTAATTCTAATTTTACTGCTAATGAACGCACTTCTGATTGAAAAAAATATTTAAAATGTTTCAAATAACAAAGACCTTCATGCCCAGAATTTGCGGGATTTATCGTTCTTTTTTATTTCTTATGTTCTCATCGTTTCGTTTATTTTGTATGTAGTTCTTTTTGGCAAAAATACAAATAAAACTATATCTTAGTCAATGCAATTGAAAAATAAAGGTTTTTACTCGAATTTTTTGTGAGTAAGATGTCCTTTTAAATTTTTACGGCTGGATTTCTAACAGTGATTGATAAACAACAATGAGAGATCTGCCCTAACTTTCAGTTTCTAAGTCGAATACTACATCCAGGAGAAAAGTAATTAAAACATGGCAAATATCAGACTTTTACCGTTAAACCATCACCACTACCGACCATGCACCATACACTGACTTGACTATTTTCATTTCATATCTATTTCTTCCATTTCGAAAGATTAAAATACACCGAAAAACAGGATGAGGAGATAACATTCTGGATTTTAAGAGTGTGCGAAAATTCACAAAACGCTGAATCAACCGCCACAGCAGTTAGTTTTACATCTTAACATTGCTAAATTAACTGCTGTAGCGGTTAATTCAGCGTTTTGTGAGTTGTAGCCCACTTTTTCACATCCAGAATTTTAAATCAGCATCCTTTCCTTTTCGATGTAAATAAATGGAGAGAATTCTTTGAAAACTGACAATGTTGGTAACAGAGCCTGAGGGTGAAATTCTCGCTTGCGAAACCGCGGTATAGCGAGATGAGTTGCTATTTACCATTACTTCGTCTCAGTCACAACTTCAACTTCCTCCATTGCTTCGAGCGCGCTTGCGAGTAGTATCCCTCAGACTTTACTCTTCTCAGACTCCTTTCACACGTTTTTGCAAAGCTTCTTTGCTCTGACATTTCTCTCCTCTCTTTTTCCCCGGCACTGCTTAACGTTTTTTATATACACACATATTTATGTCGCAGTCAAATAGTAAAATTAGGCATTTTGTGAAATGTGTGGACAAATAGTCAAATATTGTAACTTAGATTGAAATTCTGATACAAATCCTAATTTTAGACAAAACACTTCATCACTCCTGTAAGAAAAACCTTTTAGTAAAAATTCGCATCTTACAATAGTATTTTAAATGGTTTTTGACTCCTGACAGGCACTTATCTTGACATTTTCATCATGTCATAAAATACAGAATTTTCAGAATTTCAACTTTTAAAAATATGAGAAGCGATTGAAGAGGAAGAGCCGAAAAGAGTTCGCAGGTATTTGATGAGTTAGTTTTCCAAAAATTGTAAAAAATCGTGAGCTCTTTGCCACGAATTCACAAAATTTTGTAGACCGTTAAGATTTAACTATCTGCCTAGGCATTTAACAAAATTTCTGATTTCACTATTTGCCTGCGACATTTACAAATTTATTAAGTACAAAAAAGAATAAATGCACAATACGGCAATAATATCGCATTATATACTGTCGGTGTCCTTACCCGGTTTTATGCAAGACATTCCACATGCACCGTCGCACAAACATCTTTTCTTTTTACTCTTGCAATCCTCATGCGATGAGCACTTTCGTAAACATTTCTGGCCCTAAAAATACACACAAAAAATGTATTAACTTGATTATGAAATGAGACATGGTACATTGCATTCTTCCAGTTACAACAAAAACATTATAATATTAAGGCGTCAACATTAAAATTTTGTAAACATTTTCCAAATGTTTCCCAGCCTATCGACGGTATGTAAGTCGGCAATCACACAACTCGGTTTGCGACGTCGCAGACTTCCTGTCATACTTAATTTTTTAAACGGAAAACTACTCAATAGCAATTCTTTAAAACTGCCGTGAATTTTCTTCTCTATACAAAGAAAATTCTGCAAAAACTCCATGGAATGATGCCAGTTTGTTTTCATTTAAAAAAAATAACATAGAGGCGGAAGCCGCATTATCGACGTTTGCGAGCAGAGGGAATTAAAAGTATTGAACGGGTTCTACCAACACAAGGATATTCACAAATATACTTGGGTCCAACCTACCCGCGGCTTAAGATATATCATTGACTACGTGCTCGTTAAACAGGTAACAAACCTGAAGATCCAGCAGGTGAGGGTATGTAGAGGACTCTCCTGCGGTAGTGACCACTATTTCCTCAGAGCGGATGTAGCCTTTCCCGCTCGGGTGTCGCAGAACGATCGAGGCGACAATCAACAACCGGAGCGACAACGCGTACATCAAGTTCACTACAACATCGATAGCCTAAAGCACCCGAGGTCAAGGCTCTGTACGCAAAGCGCCTGGATGAAAAGTTAGGAGGTGCGTGCGATGGCAGTACGGAAGAGCGGTATGAGTTTATCAAGAATTGCGTTCACTCGGCGGCAGCGGAGGCCCTGGGGGTTTCTGATCAAAAAAATGATAACAGAAAACCGTACTGGTGGGATGCGGAGGTAGAGGAGGAAATAAATGTGAAAAGGAATAGGTATCATCGGTTTCTCTCTTCCCAAAAGTTGGATGATAAAATTATGTACAGACAGGCTCAAGCAAGAGTCCGTCGGGTAATCACTCGGAAGAAGAATGAGGCTTGGGAAGAAAGCTGTATGAAGATAAATACCTACCTTGGAGGTCGGAAAAGTACGGAAGGCTGGAAAGTGATCAAAGGGTTGCGGCGGAATAAAATGCGCGACATCATATCTCCTATACCAATTGACAAGATGGAAGACTATTTTAAAGATTTATTAACGGAGAGGCGACCCGAGTTTCAAGGCGGAGTCATAGGCACTGAAGAAGATTCCAACGTGGAGATCCAGCTCCAAGATCTAGTGAAGGCTGTGAGGGAGTTGAAAACTCGCAGAGCTCCTGGACCTGGGGGTATACCGGCAGAGTTGATAAAATGTGGCACCGGTAAACTATTTGAACATCTTCGGAAACTTATGCAAGACTGTTTGCATGGTTCCGAAATACCAAAGGATTGGAAGGAATCTTGGATTACTCCCAGTCATAAGAAAGGTAGTAAACAAGATTGCGATAATTACAGAGGTATATCGGTCACAGGAACCTTGAGCAAGGTCTATGGTAAAATTCTCAAGGCAAAGGTCGAAGAGTTTTGGAGCGGCCAGGAAGCCGAAGAACAGGCTGGTTTTAGAGCCGGTAGGTCTACCGTCGACCATCTGTTCACCATTACCCAGGTCATCGAGAAGAAAAGGGCGGTCAGCCAGGAGCTGCACTTGGTGTTTGTGGATCTTCAGAAAGCTTATGACAGCGTGCCGTTAGTGAAACTTTGGGAAGCCTTGGAAAAAAGGGGTTTTAGCAAAGGACTTGTGGGGGCAATTAAATCATTTTATAACGGGACGATAGCAAGAATTAAATGTCGTGGAGAGTTCTCCGGAGGTTTCCTCGTCACAAAAGGACTAAAACAAGGCTGTTGTTTGTCACCAACACTATTTAAGGTATACCTAGAGCACGTTTTAGAGGAATGGAAGAAGAAGGTTGCAGATATGGGCGTTCCACTCCTTGATGGGCAGACCCTTTATACTCTATGCTTTGCCGATGACCAGATCGTTGTAGCTCAAGATGAAGAAGATGCAGATTACATGACGCGGAAGTTGGTCGAAGAATATCGGAAATGGGGCATGGATGTTAGTGTGTCCAAGACAGAGAAGCTGGTCGTGGGAGCAGCGCATCAACGGCAAAGCATAGAGCTTGAGGATGGACGGCGCATCGAAGAGTGTGATGAGTACAAGTATCTCGGTGTCTGGCTTGATCAGGATGGAAGGATGGATAGAGCAATTAAGGACAGGATCATCCAGGGCAGGAGAGCCATCGCGATGCTGAACGGGGTGCTCTGGGATCAGAGCATCTCAAAGGCAAACAAGCACCGGATATATGACGCCATCGTTAAAAGTATCGTGCTCTATGGTAGTGAAGTGTGGCCTTTGACGAAAAGAACGCAAGAAATGTTGAGGGCAACTGAAATGGATTTTTGGCGGCGATCTGCCGGCATTTCGAGACGGGACCGTGTCCGTAATGAGAGAATTCGCCAGGTGATGAAGGTTGAGAAAGATATCGTGCACGACGTCATGTCCAGGCAGTTATGCTGGTATGGAAATGTGCAAAGAATGTCGGAGGAGAGATTGCCCAAACAAGTTTTGGATTGGGTACCACCTGGGAAGAGGCGACGGGGGCGTCCCGTAAAGGGTTGGCGGCAGGGCGTTGACGAAGAGATGTTGCGGTGTCAGTTGCCCGATAACCTCTGGGAAGACAGGCATATGTGGCATTTGGGTGTCGTAGAACGCCGAAGTGCGTTGTAAAGCGACTTATATATATATATGCGGAGATTTTCAGACACCGCAAACGAGAATGTGATTACGAACTTACGCCATCTTTATCCTTCATTTGAAGAAAACTAGTCGAAATAGTTTCTCCAAATTCTACATTTGTAGGGTACCTCTGTTCCTAAGGTGGAACTTGGAGAAAAAAAATCAACTTCAAATAAGGAACTTTATATGATAGCAGATTTTAATGGTTTACTTCCGAATACTAGAATCCGGGTCTGAACTTCCAAATCGCATAAACCCCTTCAAAAATCGAGGTACCTCAAACGCTCTTAGAGTTGAAATACTGGATCAAACACATTTCCCACATTTTTTGTGTATTCCCCTCTTAGGTTCACAGCAAATACACGCCAATATTGAGATTGTCATATTTTGAAACTGCGAAGACTGTCATGACAAAGGACCCTACAACAAAACGGCCAAATCGGCCTAAGCACGGAATCGTACGATTTTCTCAGGGATGATAGAGGGTCTTCCCAGACACTCAAAACTGGTCATATTTTTTGCCTAACCCCCAGGGAAAAGGGGGGAGAAGGGGTCAAAGTCAAAACATTTAAATTAGCATAACTTCTCAACGGTTTGTCGTAGAAAGATTATCTTGGTGTCAAAATTTCCAGAAAAATGAGAGCTTTCAGAATATATGTATGAAATTAATTAAATTTTAAAATTTGACCCACTTTTGGGGCATTTTACAAGGTCCCCCTTTCGTAAATTTTCGTTTTTTGAGATTTGCGGTTGTTCGGTTCGCACGGATCAAAACAAAAACAATTTCAAATGAAAGTAGAGCGTTTAAGCTTTAAAACAAGCCCAAGATGATCCTGGGGAAACGATTAGAAGCGGAGTAATGAGTCTTCAAAGTTGACGCGGCGCGCGGGAACCTTGTATGATCCGAGTCTCAAGGTCACCTGCGCGCCCCGGATTGCCTGCAGGTTGCAAGTTTTTGTGTTTTTATGCTTCTGTAGGTCATTTTTAATGTAAATCATTCAATGAAGATAGAATAATCGAAATTTTTTAATTTTATGGGAGGAGCGAGAGGGGGCTTTGAGTATCAACCATTATGTCCATCATACCTCATTGGACATTTGCTGACGATGACGATTCTGCTCTTATAATTTAGAAGAAAACACAAAAACTTGCAACCTGCAGGCAATCCGGGGCGCGCAGGTGACCTCGAGACTCGGAACATACAGGGTTCCCACGCGCCGCGTCAACTTTGAAGACTCATTACTCCGCTTCTAATTGTTTCCCCAGGATCATCTTGGGCTTGTTTTAAAGCTTAAACGCTCTACTTTCATTTGAAATTGTTTTTGTTTTGATCCGTGCGAACCGAACAACCGCAAATCTCAAAAAACGAAAATTTACGAAAGGGGGACCTTGTAAAATGCCCCAAAAGTGGGTCAAATTTTAAAATTTAATTAATTTCATACATATATTCTGAAAGCTCTCATTTTTCTGGAAATTTTGACACCAAGATAATCTTTCTACGACAAACCGTTGAGAAGTTATGCTAATTTAAATGTTTTGACTTTGACCCCCTCTCCCCCCTTTTCCCTGGGGGTTAGGCAAAAAATATGACCAGTTTTGAGTGTCTGGGAAGACCCTCTATCATCCCTGAGAAAATCGTACGATTCCGTGTTTAGGCCGATTTGGCCGTTTTGTTGTAGGGTCCTTTTACTCTCCGATTTAACTTGGGTAGCTTTGTTTTTTCATGAGCAGGAAGTTTGAATTTATGCACCAGAAGACGTTGATATATTTGTTAGGAGTTCCTTGCAGTAAGTATCGTTGCACAAATTTTGACCTCCGTGCAATGGCGATTCCAGCAAGTTGGCAAGCCTATTAATACTCCATTCATATCCATCGAGTACATCGATTCAGGATGAGACATGCTGCCTCACCTAGAATCGATTGTTTAGCATACATTTAAATGGAGAAAAAACATCGTTGCCAACTTAAGAGAATCCATATCGCCTCCGTTGAATTTTGATGAGAAAACATAGTCATATAATGTCTAAATTTGCACCTTGTCTAGGGATCTACACGATGTTGTAAGAGCATAAATTACGAAAGAACGTAACTATATTCCAACGTTTTCAAATTTACCCTCGAAAATTGCATTTCTACCAGGAAAATTTTGGGAATTTCGAATTGAAATCTTCAAAAATTTTTCTTCGAATCTCGTGCAAAAATCAGAAAAATTTTGGACGAAAATTTTACAGGTGTCTTTTTGTAAAAAAAAACAAGAAGAAAAAATCCAACATGAGTATGTTGGAAAAGCGTGCCGAATAACTGAAATGTTGGACAAATACCTCTTATTTCCACGTCTTTGCTTTTTGCATCAATTGGTACTTTTTGCTAAATTTGGGAGAAAATATTAATTCATGAACGTTGAATGTAAATTAATTTTAAAGATTCCGTCCAATTATCTTGATTTTAAGCTGATATGCGGCATTTGCGCACGACCGTGATTTGGGCGAACTGCCGTGCATCGAAATCGCGTTCAGTTAATCTCTTTGGATTTCGAACTGTAACTTCTCTCCTATTCGGCCGATTTGTACAAATGAGGTCTCTTTTTATTTGTACTTCAACGGAAAGTAAAGAAAAACTCGCTAAATAGACGGAAAACAATTTTTGAGAAAATTTGGTGGATCCTGGCATCACGGTGAATGGTTAATCGGTTAATCGCCTCGCCGTCTTTTATTGCCTTGCTCGAAACCGGACACCCAAAGCTATATCGCGAGATAACAGTAGTGGTTTAAGTGGATTTCGGCAGGGGCCATGGTTAGTACATAGTATAATGAGTCACGAGGCTCATCACAGATTGCACTTACAGTGCAAGACGCTCATTGGCTATAGAGTTTTGGCGGGAAAGAAGGTTCTAGAGTTGAGTCCTCCGAGCGTAAGAAAGCTCCTATGAGGTTTCTGTCAAATTGAATAATACGGTTTTGACAGAAAAATGTTCTCAAGGGTTTCCAATTAGCAGTTCATTAGATTTTTTGGTAAAAGACCATCAGGGCTTGACAGTGTAATGGTTCAAGGACAAAGAAACGGGTGCGAGGAAAAAAGTATTTGGACGACCCGTTGAATAGCATTGGTTGATCTGTGTGCTGTACTATGGTACATCCGAGTGATTTCAAAAAGCGAGCCCTACTGGCACGCTTAAAATTGAATTAGTTGAGTCCTTTTTGCAACCTTAAAATGGGGTCACGTTCCTTAGTGCGGAAAACGACGAAATAGGACTCGTAAAATTCGGCCTAGCGGACGATAGCTTTCGAGTTTAGCAATCATCAATAATTTTGACTACGTAGAGCCGGATCCAGCAATTTGGCAACATCGGATTTCTTCCGTTTGAGCCTATGTTTAATAATCGATTCTTGTTGGCCCCTCTAAGAACGGATACATTTTGATTGGTTTAAATGGAGAAAAAACAATGTTGCCAATGCAGAATTTTCAGGTGTTTGAAATTTAATGAATTTCGTGTTTACGTGGAAACCATTGAGTGAACTGAACACGAGGAGACCTTGGTTCATGAATTGAACAATTATTGGAGAAGATATGACAAATTGATCTAATGTGCTAAAATACATGTATTTAAATCGGAAATGCCGCCTGATGACGTCACTAGGAGGTGCATTTTCTCACCTGTAAATCTATTTTTATACTATTTCCCAAATCAGAAAAAAATTATGAAAAATACCGTGAAATCAGCTTTTTAAGCACTTTCAGATGATGTGATAAAACATTTGCATGCAAATTCTCCATTAGCTGAATCCGCCAATGTGACTATCTTAGGTGATTTGATGGAGGCCATTTTTTGTGTCAAAGCGACGTGCGATTTATCGCATCGATTAGCTGCATAGTTTCAGCTCCTTGTCATTTGCTTCAAAATTTGAGATCGCACTCCTGTTGTCATGAGACTGAAGAACTCATGTACCAAATTTGACAAAGAAATTCAACGTAATAAAGGCGTGGGTTTTTTATGGGAAAAATATCGCATTCGATACTGATATCGAAACTTCACTCGAATGCGATATTTTCCCTCTAAAAAAACCACGCCTTTATTACGTTGAATTTCTTTGTCAAATTTGGTACATGAGTTCTTCAGTCTCATGACAACAGAAGTGCGATCTAAAAATTCGGAAAAAATGACAAGTAGCTGAAATTATTGAACAAATCGATGCGATGTATCGCACGACGCTTTGACACAAAAAATGGCCTCCATCGAATCACCTTAAGGGCAAAGGCAGACTGCAAAGGGAAACATCGAAGATTCTTAAAGGTCGAACATGTAGTGAAAATGGAACAAAACCCAAAAGCGAGTTCGAGCTGAGCTGAGGAGAGTGAAGGACCATAAAACCGAGCAATCAAGAACTTTCTGTTTGGAAAAGTGACATTGAGTTCTGGAAACAATAGAGCACGGACGAACGTGAAATATGATTTTGTCGAGGGAATAAAGGGGGCCATTTATATCTCCCTCCACCTGTTGCTCTCGAGGCTCGAGCATCGGTCACACGACGAATCTTCGCAACTTTTTGGTCCTCAGCGCCACATCGAGACGTTGTCAAATTCTTTAATTGTTTTTCCTGAACGAATCAGTTGTGTTTAAAAGGGAACAGGTCCATTCTTTGACGAGTCTTGGTTAGTATGTCCTTTCATGCAAACGAAGGCTCATGCAAAAATGGACTTGTTCCCTTTCGAAAACAACTAATTCAGATGGGCCGAGTTTGACAAAGGCGCACCGAGTCCCATTTTTCCAGAATTATAACCGAAAACAAGTTTGATTAAATTTATAAGAGACACAGGCATTCGTTTTTATGCATTCAAAAACATGTCCTCTAACTGAATAGAATTTCGTTATTTCAAAGACAATTCCTTTTTATTCACACACATTTTTAAGCATTTTCCCAGTGTAATACTTTGTTTTTTTTATGTAAAAATGTTATTTTCCTGATTTTTTCCTGTTAAATACTTCCTGGATATGCAAGCTTTTGGAGGGTATGGATTCGATCGACATGAATCGATCGAAAAATGAAAACGTGAATCGATCGACATGGACCGACACCGATTCGATCCACAAATTATTATTAAAAAACCGGTTGTCGATTCGATCGACAAATTATTAAAAAACCGGTATCGAATCGATCTACATGTATCAATCGACACCGATTCCGTCGACAAAATTCGATCGATTTACTGGCTTGTCGATCGACTCACGGGTTTTCCGATTGATTCACGGGTTTTCGATCCATTACGGGTTTGTCGATCGCTTCAAGGGTTTGTCGATCGACTCACGGGTTTGTCGACCGATTCACGGGTTTGTCGATCGATTCACAGGTTTGTCGATCGATGATTCATGTAGATTGATTCACGTTTTCATTGTTCGACCGATTCATGTCGATCGAATACCCTCCCAAGCTTTTAACACAAAATAAGGCATACACTTTCATACCATAAAAGCGGCGTAGACTTCATCCCTGGGGCATTCGGCCGAGGGGAAGTTCCTCGGATTTTTGTAGACCCTGTCATCGTCGTCGGCCTCTTTCAGGTCCTCGAAGTCTTCGTCCTCGTCGAAGTCGTCGACATAAGGCGCTGCGGTGCTTATGACAAACCTCTGGTGTCTTCTGCAGTCTGTAAACAATCCAAAAGCAGCGAACGTTTAGTTTTTTCCACACATCCGTAAAGACGCTTAAGAAATTAAAAATGTGGAACGGCGGGTGAGGCACGTGATAATGTTGCGCTAAGAACGAACACCGTATGAATACTAAGATGTTGCCAAAATTATCTATGATTAATTGGATCGCATTTAGCAAAAAGGAACCGGCGTGATTACAGTTTTTTTCAAAATCGTGCAACTTTTTCTTTACTTTTAAAAATACGTAATAGATGTATAATATTAAAACTTACACAATTATTTTCCTTAAAAATTAACAATTTCTTTGGTGGGAGGCAAAAATTATTTTCTGTTTTGGGAGATTTTTTAGATACTAATGAAGAAGCAACATTTTTACAACACTGCAATTGCGCTGGTTCCTTTTTGCTAAATGCGATCAAGTTGTGATTTTTCTAGACAACTACATAACTAGACAACAAGCACCCATTTGCAAAGATATTATAAAAGCATATTTTGTTTCAAATACTGGCTAGAATTAGGCATTTTTAAGCAGAAAGTAACTATGTCACCTCAGCCATCGACAAATTTTATGAAACGATTTAATTTTTTCACAGAAGAGCAGTAATGTGGATTTCTTGAAAATTTCAGGCAATTTTCTCTGACGTGAAGTAAATTCCTTGAAATATTCAAGAGAATCTACAGAACAGTTCTTGAGTAAGAGAAAATTTATTCGATGAAATTCGGCGATGTCTGATATGGCTTTGTTCCTTTCTCCTTAAAACGGTCAAGAGAGTAGTTCTTCATTGCATTTATAATCCAATCAAATGCAGTTGCTGGCAAACTGGCGCAACGCAACGATACAATATGCACTGCGCCTGCGAGGAGAAGAAATCGCCCGAACGCCTTCAAGGTTTGTGCATACCACACGCACATCCATCAAGCACAAATAGTCGTATCAAGCGCCACCATCAAAGTCACGCCTTTCGGTTGAAGGCGCTTCGTTCTCTGTTCGATATTGTAATCGCGATGCACAACATCTGAAGACCTAATGTAACACGGATAAAACTGTGCACCGAAAAAAAAGTAAAGTTGATTTAACATCTGGATGTAAAAAAGAATGCGAGAACTTATAAAATGCTGAATTACCTTCTACAGCAGTTACTTGAGCGATGCCCAGATGTAAAACTAACTGCTAAGGCGGGCAAGTCCGCATTTTATAAGTTCTCGCACCCTTTTTTTTACATCCAGAATGAAAAGTAAACCTCAATTTTTTTCGGTGTGGCAGAACTAAGGTACCTTACTACGAAATATAATCTAACTATGATCAGGTTTTCAAATTTTTTGCTGGTATTCTTTGTTTTTCCCGTTGAGCGCCCCTACTTTTCAGTGGCGATTCTTTTAAGTTGGCAACGCTGTTTTTGCTCCATTTAAATGTATGCTAAACAATCGATTCTACTGTCTCACCTAGAATCGATTCACTCAATAGATATTAATGGAATATCTATAGTTCTGCCGCGATAGCGAAGAGAGCCGTAACTGCAAAAATGAAGTTCTGAGAAAACGGGCTCAGAAGCTTCTGAGTGGAACATTTTATTGAAAGAAGCCTCCGCTCTTTGTCTAATTGCCGCTATTCGTTCGGAAGACTCCTAGAAATCATTTGGGGGATTAAAACTCGACCGATTTTATTTTAAAGTACATGAAAAAGGTAAAATTCAGTTTCTGTTAGGTTATTGTTGGGCAAGACAGCCGTATGTGCTATCTTCTACATGCTTTCGTGGTTGCGTTTTGGACGCACAACAAACACATTTTCAGGTTAGAAATTGGCAGAAGAGGGCGGCACTTTACTGGAAAGCACTGTTTTCATTGGCTCTCATGCACCTGCGGCTGTCTTGAAAAAACTAAGTCATTTTTTGTGCACTTACGGCTTTCTCATACGTCTCGTTTTCATTAAATTAGGATGAATTTTGCTGTTTTAGCTGTTGCTTGCTTTCTTGTGGTCCTTGTGTGGAACTTAGAAATTTGTGCAACTTTATTTTGCCCGGGGATTTGTTGCTATTGAATGGGGAACCTGACAACCCAGCAAAAGCATCTTAATCCACGGCTAAGAGATCCCCCATCGCGTTTTTCCGCAATGACTCTTTTCATCCTTCGCTCCATCTCTTTGAAATTCAGCATACTAAACTTTTTTTCTTCACTTTTCTGGCGATGTTTAGAGCCCCCAGGGGTGTGGGCGCCTCCCCACCTCAACCCCCTTTGCATCCGTGCCGGATTGCGCGAGAGCGGGTCTCATGCCCGCAGAAGATACACACAGATGAGTAGAATTTTTAAAAGTAAGGGCGCACAAAAATCAAATTGTTACAGATGGATTGCATTTTGCGAAAAGGAACCAAAAGCATTCCAATGACTGTGCAACTTTTTTTACCTTGCAAAGATTAACTGCATAACTGAACAAGTTTTCTTTTTATTCTCAATTAACCATGAATTTGAGAAGAAAATTACCTTGGTAAATTGAACTTTATACATGACTTCAGTAATTTGATTGCAAAGAATATAAGACGCACATCATAGCAACATTGGAATGCTCATGGTTCCTTTTTACAAAATGCAATCCACCAACAAAAGGAACCAGGAGCATACCAATGTTGCCAGGATTGTACATTCACATCCTTTGCAATAAAATCACTGTGATCATGCAAAAAATGTAATTTGGGAAGGTAATTTTCGGATTGAATTTATAGCTTTTCGGGAGTAAAGATGTAACCTGTTCAGGTGATCAGTCTTATATATTTGCAAGGTGAAAAAAGTTGCACGATCTTAGCGACATTTGAATGCTCGTGATTCCTTTTCGCAAAATGCAATGCAAACATACCTCGAAAAATGCACAATAGAAGCGCTGCGGTAGCAAAAAGGGCATTTCTTGGTTAAGGTGTCTCAGGAACTTCGATAGTGTTTTATCAATTTTATCAAAATTTTATCCGTTTTATTCATCCATTTTGTCCTTTACATCAGGTAGCGCGGAGGAAATATACTTCAATTAGACTACCTTTTGCAACTAGAAATCAAGTATTCTGGTTCACTTGTAAAATACTTATGTGAATAAGTATAAAATACTTAAGTAATATACATAAGTAATAATAAAGTAATAATAAAATACTTACAGAAATCTAATGGTACATACTTTGTTTCTAAACTGAGGCAGCAATGGAGATGTTGCATGTGTGAGGAATTTGCGCTTTGTTTGTTGATTCTTATGTAAAAGTTCGCGAGAAACACGATGGTGCCTCTGGTTTTCCCTGAAATCAACTCTCAAGCTCAAAAAAGCTCTCAAGTTGAGGCCAAAATAAAGGTTATATCCAACGATATCCTGAGAGTCCTCCTCTACACCAAGAGAAACTCTCCATATAAAGATAGGGAGCAAATACATTGACAGGGCTGCCACTTTATTTGGGGACTCTAAAACTGAAAACACGGCATCACTGCTAATGTATTTGCTCCCTATCTTTGCATGGAGAGTTTGTCTCGATGTAGAGGTGGACTCTCAGGATAGCGTGGGATATCCCCTCCATTTTGTCCTCAACTTGAGAGCTTTTTTTGAGCTTGGAAGTTGATTTCAGAGAAAACCAGTGGTACCATCATGTTTCTCGCCAACTTTTACATACGTATAATAGTCAAATCGCAAATTCCTTACACATGCAACATCTCCATTGTAGCTCCTAATCGCAAAATGTGGTCCAATTTGTTTTTTCTCGGTTTAAATTTAATGCGGCTTGGTTCCTTCTGTTCAACTCGATCCATGTCATCAACGGGATCGGATGTGCACCGAAAACTTTGTGGTTGCACTGAAAAAAAAAATCTCGGTGTATTTACTAAGAAAAGGGTAAAAATACCAAGAATTCAGGGTTCTATTTGATCCCAGTTTTTTCTTGGTAAAATTACCATTTATGGAATTGGTAATTTTACCGAGAAATCTTAGAAAAAATTATTGACTTTCTCGGTAATTTTACTGGACCCCGGTAAAAACGCCAATACTTTTTATCGACTGTGGTAGAATTACCGAGATAAAATGGCAAAGTTACCGGGAATTGGTTACCAATAAAAGTGGCATTCTTACCTGAGAAAAACAGTAAAAATACCGGTTTTTAGGTAAGCTTATCAGTCTGTCTGGGTAAAATTACCAATAATTGGTAAAAAAAAGTGAGATGGTAAAGGTACCAACGGACCTTGGTAAAAACGCCGAGAAATTTTTTTCAGTGTGGACAAGAAGAAAAGATGCAATTTTTGAGGCTCCACGTGGCAGCCGCGATTGAGGATTCTCATTTTCTTTGGGAGGAAACAAGAGGTTAATCCGGGCGTTTGAAGACAAGCAATTCGACGGATGCCTCCGCGAGAACGGGTGCCCTGTTTGATTGAGTCAGCAGAGGAGAGGGATTTTTCGCGCGGCGCAGAAAATGCAAAAAACCTCGCACCGGTTTCTCTTGTCCCGAGGAAACGTTCGCCCGGGAAACCTGACTCGAATGATTAGCAACAGTTTTAATGAATCCAAGAGTCCGTTTCCTGGCAGCACCAAATGAATATTGCATTTTGGGGCTACGCAAGGTGTTGCGTAGTAGTGAAAAAGTGTGGTAAATCTAATTACAATAGAGTAATACACAAAAAAGTCCGAGCACGTCAACTAAAAAACACAAGAGGAGTCAATTCAACCGATTATTTTCCAAAACAAGTATGCGTCAAAATTGTGAAAGCGAGAAAAATAAGAAATGTTAGTAACAAAGTGTGGTAAATTTGACTATATTAGAGTAATGCACGAAAAAGACTAAATACTTCAACTGAGAAACACAGAAAGAGTCACTTGAACGATTATTTTCCAAATCACGTAAGCGACAAAATTGCGAATGCGAGAGAAATAAGAAATGGTGTTGCATGGTGAAGAAGGAGTTTTGTAAATTTAACTATAAACATTAGAGTAATACACAGAAAAGCCCGAATACTTCAATTAAAAACCACAAAAAGAGTCAAT